TTTTCAAATGAAGGTAGAACAAATAGGATGGGGTTTGTTATGAGTTCAAGTAACTTCCCATCTGGACAGTTTACTCTTTCCTCTTTTTACTTATTTATTTATTTATTATTGAACCATGGTTGATTGTACATATCTATGCAGTACAGAGTTGAATATCAATACCTGTGTGCAATATGTGATGCTCAAATCTGGATAATTAGCATAGTCAACACTATACAATGGAATTGTTTTCCATGGCCCTTTACCAATTCCTCCCCTACCCCTCCCTCTCCTCCTTTCCCACCTCTGGTAACCTCAGTTCTGTTTTCTCCTTTAGAAAGTTCAATGTATTATTGTGATTGTTGTTTCTTTCTTTTATTTATTTGGGTTTTTTTAGCTCCCACTTATGAGTGAGAACATGTGGTATTTTTCTTTCTGTGCTCAGCTTATTTCACTTAATATAATTTTCTCTAAGTTCATCCATGTTGTTGCAAATGGCAGAATTTCATTCTTTTTATGGCAAAGTAGTATTCCATGGTATATATACACCACATTTTCTTTATCCAGTCGTCCAATGACAGGCATTTAGTTTGGTTCCAACTCTTGGCTATTGTGAATAGAGCTGCAATAAACATGGGGGGTGCAGGTATCCCTTCAACATAATGATTTCCATTCCTTTGTGTATATACCCAGTAGTGAGATTGCTGGATGGTGCAGCCATTACAAAAAACTGTATGGAGGTTCCTCAAACAGCTACCGACCAAACTGCTACATGATCATTTTTTTTTACTTTTTTTTTTTTTTTTTCTGGCTGGCTGGTAAAAGGATCCAAACCCTTGACCTTGGTGTTATAACACTGCACTCTAACTAACTAAGCTAATCAGCCAGCTCACTTTTTCCTTATTTTTTAAGTGACACCTACCTGACATTATTGTTAGAACTAAAAGGTTTGTAATGTCTCTAATCTCATAGGGTTATTGCAGGGAACAGTGCAATTAAAGGACATAAATTATGTCAAATTATGTAATCTAGTTATTGTTCCAGCATATCACATAGTGCCTGGCACAGACAAGATGATCAATAAATATGTGAAATGAATGTATCGATTAACTAATTAAAAAAAAAAAAGACTAATACTCTTATTTGAGTTAAGCTGTATTTGTGGAACATCTAGCCTAGGATTAAAATTTAATATA